GGGGAAGGGAGGGTGGGCAGTGTAGGTAGAGGGAGGGTGTCCTGATGCGGAGTTGAGGTTCTGGGGGAATGTGTGGCAGCAGGGATGTGATGGGGAGTAGGTGGGAGTATGTTGGGGGAAGGGAGGGTGGGCAGTGTAGGTAGAGGGAGGGTGTCCTGATGCGGAGTTGAGGTTCTGGGGGAATGTGTGGCAGCAGGGATGTGATGGGGAGTAGGTGGGAGTATATGAGGAGTGGGATGCATGGAGGATGGAGTGGGTGTGCTGAGGAGGTAGAAGGGAGGGAGGTCTGGGGAGTGGGTGTGCAGGAGTAACAGTGAATGTGAGGGGAATGATAAGGGGTGTAGAGGGAGTGGGTGCTGGATAGGGCACAAGGGGACTAAAGAGATTGGGGGAGGCCTTGCTTGGGATGTGCGGGGGGATGGTAAAAATGGGAGTATGCTTGAGGGACAGGGAGAGGTTGCTGGGACTTGAGGTGGTGGTGGTGGTATGAGGGAGACTGAAGAGTTTGGTGGTGCAGGGTGGGCCATAAAAGATTATAGAGATAGCAGCCCACTTTGTTTTTCCAAAGTTGACACAATCTGTAACACTTCTGTAGAGTTGTACAGCCTTACTTCTTCCAAGCACTCACTCTGTGTGTATCTGTCCCCATAGGGGACATGACATGTGTCTTTTCAGTGTGGTGGTGGGTGGGTGTATATATAATATCAGACATTAAACGTGCTTTCTGCTTACTCGTGGGAAGTTCCATGTGGAGAGATGGAGACACACATGCGTGGAGGTGTTTTTTTGCCCCCTACTCACCGCAAATTGGGGGTTTCCCTGTTTCTAATCTGCCCCATTTCTGTCTCTTTCCCCCCCCCCCTCCTGTTTTTATGGACACTCACAGTGTCATCACCTCATTGCTTTAGTCTGTGTGACAAGTCCCCAGGATGACGTGGGAACAGCACAGAAGAGATGGTCAGGGCCTTAGGGAAATGACTTTAAAGGAAGTATCTTGAATGAATACAGCAAAGTAAATAAGCTGGTTGTGATTTTATTCAAGTTAAGAACAGCTGAAACATTTATGCTGATCAAAGTGAGAAATAGACTGGCCAAGTTCATTGTGGATCTGTGAAATCTACAAGACTGCCACTGAGGTCTTTCCTTTGCATATTTACTCCCAGTATTTGTGATGCTGGAATGAATGAATGGTTTGCCAAATGATGCTGTGTAATTCTCTTGTTGCATGTAGTCAGTTGGAGTAATCTACGCTGTATAGACTATTCTAAAAGTTAGTATACAAGCATTTAAAATTATTCCTTTGAGAGGTTTCAGGTTTTTTTGTTGGTGTCAGATGCATGATTATAAATTATACTATTGTGGTAGATACACTATAGTACAGTAACTATAGTTGAAGTTGAGAGTGCACATTTGTAACTAATATGATGAGCTTTCTCTTCATTTTTCCTATAGTAGGTCTCTTAACTTATTTGACCATACTTTATCTGTACATTGGCCATGCCTTCATACAATATTTTGTTAAATACAGACCCGGAATCCTTTGACAGAACAACTTTGTTAATAATACGCTATAGTATAGAGTATCCATTAAACATGGTTGTTCATGGCTAGCACTGACTACTGTGGGAAAGACACAAAACTGACTCTTAGTATTAAGACTATTAGTATTAAAACTGACTTAGTATCTTTTGTGAGCAACTGTACATGTTAAATACTCTTATTTAATACTAATGAGAATTTGTGACTGCTTTAATTTTTGCTGCCCAACAGCTTTTTGTCTTGGCATCAGAAAATCATACCATTCTGATTTTTGTACAGTATTTAGTTTGGGAAGAAAATGACAGTCAGTAAGCAGTGATGTTTAGTTTTGAAAATATATAGGAGAGGAATTGCCATGTCTAATCCAAAACAGAGGCTAACTCATCTTTCCTTAATTTCTGATAAATATACCAACTAAAAATGTGTGCATTCTTATATATCTTTGTTATGTTGGAATTGGAAAATACCCTTTTTCTTTTGGAAATATTATGTTGTCTTAATTTTCATTTTATATTGGGCCTGACTCATTATTCATTTATTTATTATTTATTTTTAGCCAGGTCTGTTTTCTGTTACAAATGACTGAACGGCA